GACTCATCCAAGCAGTCACTGCAGAGTCGGTAATGACTGAGCGCAGATAAAAAAAAAAAAAGAGATGTATAGGGGAAGACCACCCAGTCTGAGAGCCAGATCTCATGTGTCTCAAACTGTCTCCAGTGAATGCAACTGACATTTTTAGCAGCATCCATCATAAGCTATGATATCAAAATGATGCATGTCATGACACCAGCATCAAGACTCAAGTCAGTTACAATGTCTGATTCAAGTATATGTTGCATCATGATACTGTATATGAATCATCATTTGCCCCTCACAAAGATGCCTTGGCCAGTTGCACAGTGAAAAGGAGAGTCACTCCAGACTTCCTAGAATATTTTTTAAGGATGCATGAACAAGGATGCATGAATCTGACCACCACCGTGATGATGACAAAGGTCTATAGGAAACTGTAACTAGGCTTCATTGTACTCAGTAACAGTAATTTGTATTGTTTGTAGCCCAGATTGCACAAGGAATATATACTACAAAAACATTCAGCTAAGGACAGTTAAGGTTTCCCTGGGGAAAAAATCTGTCAAGAATGGACCAAGCCCATGTCCTCCACACACAGGGCTCTCTAACTTCTGAAGAGATTTCTCTTGAGTTAGCAATCCACTACAGTACAAAGGTGGAGAATCACAGAGGTTTGCTGGATAGATATGAAGGGAAGAAGTGGCTCAGATATTTAGAGAGAGAATTTCAAGGAAGGTACAAAAACAGAGTGAAAAGTAGCACTGGGTTTCTCTATCCCATATAACACATTTCTAAAATGGGAGACCTAGTTGGAACAGAACCACCAGAGTTTTGGCCCTCCAGTCATGCCTCACATGTACCTATGTCATTTACGTAAATCCCAGCCTCCCAATCCCAATAATAGTAGGACAAGCTCTTACTACAAACCCGTTACTCTGCTTCCCTTGGCTAAATTAAAGGAAAATCTTATTTACCAGGACTTGCAGTGAGCAACTTACTTTGAAAGATCTGAAGAAAGTATAGTAGGTGCACTCTGAGAATGCAGAAGCAAAACTTGCATAAAGTAGTATTTCCTTTGCTTTCTTTTCTAGACAATATGGGATCTTCTGAATGATTGTATTTATTTATACAGGTTATAAAGCCTCCTGAGGCTCTGTGTGTATAAAATCCCAATGCAGAGTAAGAGTATATCTCCCCCCCCCAATAGCAACAAACAAGAATGGCACACCTGCTCCTCTAGATGCTTATCATCAAAGCCTTCCAGAAAAGCCAAATCTTATGTATTCTCTGGAAGATCATAAGAGCAGGAGCAGGAGGGGACCTTCAGCAGGCACTTTCTACTCACCTGGGTCAGGCAGGCCGAATTTTCTCTAAGATAGACATTTATAAGCAATAACTAGCACCTTGAGTTCCTCTTGGAAACAAATTGGTAAACATCTGCTGTAACCATGGTATTGGATGAGAGAACAGTGATTATTGCTGGCTTGGATGAAAAGGTAGCAGGACTAGCAACTGTACTGAGTTGCATGTGAATCAAAAGCACCAAAAACAGTGGACTAATTACCCATGTGGCCCACACAAGATCTGTTCATCATCAAAAAATATACAAAGGCATCTAGTGCAGGATTCAAATGGGGTAATCTTCTAGTTAGCAGCAGCAGCAGCAGAAATAATAATAACAACAACAACGTAATCAAGGAAGACTGCAATAGTACACAACCTGTAGGTAAAAGGCAACAAAACACTTTCTTCTGAGATTTAGATCCAAGTTATTAAGTAATCACATAGCTAATGAAAGGGCGACAATATTTTTACTTCCAAAGCAAAAATGTGATATTGACACACATTTCTGTATTATTTACACAATAAGGAAATACATCTTTTACTTCTTTTTCTAAAAACTTGAGGGATATTATCATTTTTATCTTAGAAATCACATAGATAAGGAGATTTTACTTGAAACTTCAGGTGACTTTGAACGGGTTGACAATTACCCTGTTTTAAAACTGCAAAGGGAAAGAAAGTTTATTGTAAACTAGTCACTGAACCAAAAACTTTGAAGTAACAATGAAGCCAACAGAACTGCTCTCTAAATTTCCAGTTTTAAAACACCTGAAAATTCTAAGATACGGTCAAAACTTGTTAAACATAATTCCTTATCTCAATCACTAGATCCTTTCTCTTACTTTCTCTGTTATTTTAGTAGTGAAAATTTCCAAGGCAAATGACCAATAACTATGAACAGCTTTATTTAGAAACAGTAACAAAGGTTATCTGACTTATCAGGGAAACGTTAATTCCTATCACTGCAAAAGCCTACTCTTTTTAAGCCTCCTTTCTCTCTTATTTTTTATGAAATGCAATTGAGCATTTTGGAAGCAATTTGTTTAAAGATGTACAAAATGTAATATTGGACTAGTACTATATAAAATATTATCCAAGAGCAACATATGAAAACAAAATTGGCTTGGAAACTTAGGCACCTTATCTGATGTAGATGCAAGCTTGGGAAGTTGTTAGCTTCAAAAATAAATGCGAAAGAAAGTAATTTTCCCAGGCAGACAAGAATTAAAAGCAGAAGCGACTCAACAGCTTTTAAGCACAGCCCAAAATGCTTTGCAATGAAGCACTTATTCAAGAGGCCTCCAGGAAGAAGGATCCCATTTCAGCGGGGGACTTACTTCTTTAAGCTTGGTTTCAGGGCACTCTGACTGTAAAGTGAGGGTGGCCCCCTCGATGTTCCGCGGCATGGGAGTTGACCCAGGATTGATAGTCAAATGGATCTGATCCGGCGAAATAATGTGCTGCACGTAGCCCTGGGAGATCCCTTCATGATCGGACATCAAGTGAAATCTATCCTCGTGCAAGAAAGGTAGGGGACCCCCGCCCTGCCCCTCCTCTTCTTCCTCCTCCTCCTCCTCCTCCTCCTCCTCCAACGGCTCTTGGTCTTGTTCAATGAGAACAGTCGTCCTGTCGTAGACGGTCCCGGAGGAAGGCGAGGCGAGGCCATTCTGGTCCACAAACCTCATCAGTTTTTCATCTCGGGCCAAGTCATCTTCCTCCACCTCGTAGTAGATGACATTCTCGGGACTGTTTTCCCCCATGGCTTAGCGGAGTTCGGGGGCGGCCACAGGAGGAAGACGGTGCAGGTCGTCGGCAAGGGAAAGCGAAGACGCGTGAACGAGCCAGGCCG